TAGGTGTAAGGTTAGATTGTTTGAGATTTTTCTTGTTTCTTGAGGTAGGCTTGTATAGCTATAAACTTCCCTCTTAGAACTACTTTTGCCACATCCCATAGGTTCTGGATTGTCGTGTTTTCATTGTCATTTGTCTCCAGGTATTTTCTGATTTCCTCTTTGATTTCTTCAGTGATCTCTTGGTTATTTAGTAATATATTGTTTAGCCTCCATGTGTTTGTGTTTTTTACATTTTTTTCCCTGTAATTGATTTCTAATCTCAGCGTGTGGTCAGAAAAGATGCTTGATATGATTTCAATTTTCTTAAATTTACTGAGGCTTGATTTGTGACTCAAGATCTGATCTCTCCTGGAGAATGTTCCAGTTCTTCCCTTTCATCACTTTAAGTATATCATGCCACTCCCTTCTGGCTTGTAGAGTTTCTGCTGGAGAAATCAGCTGTTAACCTTATGGGAGTTCCCTTGGGAACTCCTAGGGGAGTCGTTTTTCCCTTGCTGCTTTCAGTAATTTTTCTCTGTCTTTAATTTTTGCCAATTTGATTACTATGTGTCTCCTTGGGTTTATCCTGCCTGGGACTCTCTGCGTTTCCTGGACTTGGGTGGCTATTTCCTTTCCTATGTTGGGGAAGTTTTCTATTATAATCTCTTCCAATATTTTCTATGGTCCTTTCTCTCTCTCTTCTCCTTCTGAGACCCCTATAATGTGAATTGCGGAGCACAGGCTCCGGACATGCAGGCCCAGCGGCCATGGCTCACGGGCCCAGCCGCTCCGCGGCACGTGGGATCCCCCCAGACCGGGTCACGAACCCGCGTCTCCCACATCGGCAGGTGGACTCTCAACCACTGCGCCACCAGGGAAGCCCCAATTTCCTCTTTTATAGCTGTTAGCAGTTACCTTATGTATTGAGGTGCTCCTATGTCGGGTGTTACTGTCGATTTCCTCTTTTATAGCTGTTAGCAGTTACCTTATGTATTGAGGTGCTCCTATGTCGGGTGCATATATATTTATAATTGTTATATCTTCTTCTTGGATCGATCCCTTGATCACTGTGTACTGTCCTTCCTTGTCTCTTGTAACATTCTTTATTTTAAAGTCTATTTTATCTGATATGAGTATTGCTACTCCAGCTTTCTTTTGATTTCCATTTGCATGGACTATCTTTTTCCATCCCCTCACTTTCAGTCTGTATGTGTCCCTAGGTCTGAAGTGGGTCTCTTGTAGACAGCACGTATATGGGTCTTGTTTTTGTATCCATTCAGCAAGCCTGTGTCTTTTGGTTGGAGCATTTAATCCATTCATGTTTAAGGTAATTATCAATATGTATGTTCCTATTATCATTTTCTTAATTGTTTTGGGTTTGTTTTTGTAGGTCCTTTTCTTCTCTCATGTTTCCCACTTAGAGAAGTTCCTTTAGCATTTGTTGTAGAGCTGTTTGGTGGTGCTGAATTCTCTTAACTTTTGCTTGTCTGTAAAGTGTTTGATTTCTCCATCGAATCTGAATGAGATCCTTGCTGGGTAGAGTAATCTTGGTTGTAGGTTCTTCCCTTTCATCACTTTAAGTATATCATGCCACTCCCTTCTGGCTTGTAGAGTTTCTGCTGGAGAAATCAGCTGTTAACCTTATGGGAGTTCCCTTGGGAACTCCTAGGGGAGTCGTTTTTCCCTTGCTGCTTTCAGTAATTTTTCTCTGTCTTTAATTTTTGCCAATTTGATTACTATGTGTCTCCTTGGGTTTATCCTGCCTGGGACTCTCTGCGTTTCCTGGACTTGGGTGGCTATTTCCTTTCCTATGTTGGGGAAGTTTTCTATTATAATCTCTTCCAATATTTTCTATGGTCCTTTCTCTCTCTCTTCTCCTTCTGAGACCCCTATAATGTGAATGTTGTTGCATTTAATGTTGTCCCAGAGGTCCCTTAGGCTGTCTTCATTTCTTTTCATCCTTTTTTCTTTATTCTGTTCCGCAGCAGTGAATTCCACCATTCTGTCTTCCAGGTCACTTATCTGTTCTTCTGCCTCAGTTATTCTGGTATTGATTCCTTCTAGTGTGTTTTTCATTTCAATTATTGTATTGTTCATCTCTGTTTGTTTGTTCTTTAATTCTTCTAGGTCTTTGTTGAACATTTCTTGCATCTTCTCGATCTTTGCCTCCATTCTTTTTCCAAGGTCCTGGATCATCTTCACTATCGTTATTCTGAATTCTTTTTCTGGAAGGTTGCCTATCTCCACTTCATTTAGTTGTTTTTCTGGGGTTTTATCTTGTTCCTTCATCTGGTACATAGCCCTCTGCCTTTTCATCTTGTCTATCTTTCTGTGAATCGATACCTGTTTCTTAAGATAATGGATGTAGAATGCTGTATTAGTTTTCTGTTGCTACCACAACAAATTACCACAAACTTAGTGGCTTAAAACAACACAAATTTATTATCTTACAGTTCTGTAGATTGGAAGTCGGACATGGGTCTCACCAGGCTAAAGTCTTGACAGGGCTATGCTCCTTCTGGAGGCTATAGAGTAGAATCCATTTTCTTGCAATTCCCGCTTTTTAGAGATTGCTTTATTTATTCGCTCATGACCCCCTTCTTCCATCTTCAGAACTGGCAATAGCAGGTTGAGTCCCTGTCACACCTACATCTCTCTACTCTCTGCAGCCAGGAAAGGTTCACTGATTTTTTTTTTTTTTTTTTTTTGACGTGGACCATTTTTAAAGTCTTTATTGAATTTGTTACAATATTGCTTCTGTTTTATGTTTTGGTTTTTTGGCCCCGAGGTATGTGGGATCTTAGCTCCCTGACCAAGGATCGAACCTGCACCCCCTGCATTGGAAGGCGAAGTCTTAACCACTGGGCTGCCAGGGAAGTCCCAAGGTTCACTGATTTTAAGGACTTATGTGATTATATTGGGCTCACCTGGATAATCTAGGCTAATCTCCCCACCTCAAGGATTTTAACCTTAATCATATCTGCGAAGTCCCTTTTGCCACCTACCATAACATATTCATGGGTTCCAGAGGATCAGGACATGGACGTTTGTAGGCGGGCCGTTGTTCTCCCTACCACAAGTGCAAGGTACTGTGCCTCGCTCTTTGTAAACCCTCAGTAAGTGGCGCTCGTTCAAGGCCCTTGGTACTCTGGGAAGTTGCAAGCTGAAGACTTGAGCCCTGGGCACAAGTAATTTAAAGCCTGGTAGGAAAATGAGAGGGGTGAGGATAGAAATGATTCTGATCCAGAAAGAGTGACCAGAGTCATAATGTATTTAAGTGCAGAACCCAGAAAGAAATGAGGATCAACTCAAATGAGAATCTTTATAGGACAACAGGTAAGAAGGAAGGAGAAGGCAGAGGGAAAGCCTCTTCTGCCTAGAGAGTCAGGGAATTAGATTTGTTCATGTCTCTTGATTCTTCCCACTAGTCCCCCTGGACTCACTTGTTCATTATGCAGCAGATATGTGCCAGGCACTGTACCTGGCCTAGGGGATATAGCGAACACAGTACACAGAGGCCACTTCCCTGCAGCTCAGTGTGGTGAAGCAAAATAACCATGTCAACGCAGAGCCATAATACATTGTGACAGTAGGAGCCCACAGGAAGGATGTGCCTCCTTCCCAGAGTTACAGGGTGGGAAAGGCACCTTGAGGGAGGTGCTGATAAACTGAGAGCTGAGGAATGAGTTAATCAGATGCTCTGGGCCGCAGGTAACAGCCCAACTCAAGTGACCTTAAACAATAATGAGCAGACTGGCTCCTGACTGGAAGCCCAGGAGTAGGGTAGGCATCAGGGCTGGTTACTCTGGTCACTTTGGCTCCATTTTTCTGTGATTCCCTTGGCTTGGCTTTCCTCTCTCTGTTTATTTCACTCTCAGGCTGGCTACCCTCGTGGTCACAAGTCCAGGAGTCACATTAGGACACCCAGCATCCAGAGAAAGAAAGTCATCCCTTTCATAGACTCTCTCCTGAAAATGAGAAAACTCCTTTTCCACACACTCCCAGCAACTGGCCCCCTTGCATCCAATTGGGGTCACAGGCTCATTTCTGAGCCAGTACCTGTGTCCAAGTGAATGCCGTGTCCAATTTGGCTTAGATCTAAGTTCCTGAACCTATCACTGTGGAAAGGACAGTGAACTTACACATGGTCTGATTTGGGCTGGGCAGATAATGAAATGAAAATCAAGGTGCCATTAGGAATGAGGGAGGGTGAGGGGAAGAAAGAACAGAGTGTAGGAATGGAAGTGACTTGTTCTCTCCTTCTCCCATGTAAGACTCGTTTCTGCCACTTCATACCTTCTGCTTTCCATGGATTCTGTTTCCTCTTAATTCTAGCTTTGCCATGACTTCTCTCTGCACATGCTTTCAACTTCAGCATCTGTCATTAACTGCCTCACTTCTCCATGTCTCTCAATTCAAATCCCCAAGCTTAATTTACCTCACTATATCAGGCTCCACCTACTTGGAAGTAAGCTGCAGAAGAATCTAAATACAAGATTTATTTTGTATACTGCTCTGCCCCCAGCATCTGAACAGTACCTGGCATGCAGTAAGTGCTCGATGAATTAAATATGTGCCAAATGAATGGAAGCTCAGCCTTCTAGCTAATCGGCTGCCTTTCAGTCAGTTGCTCCTCTGCCAGATTTTCTGTGGCTGAGGGGGTGTCCCTTGAAGGGACTGTTGACATGTCCCCTCTAGTGGTAGGAGCAGAAATTTGTTTGGATATAACTTGTACTACTATTATCTGAACTTCAGTTTACTTTTCTGCAAAATAGGATCAATGAAATCTGCCCTTTATGGCTCAGAGGGGTTCAGTATCAAGTGAGATCATGAATAGGAAGGTACTTTATATATTGTAAAATGCCAGGCAGTTTAATTCAATCCTGGTCACTCACGTATGCCTGGAAAACACTGATGACGGAAAGGCTATTTTACCTGTTCACTTCCACTTCTTGATGTTGAGTTATCCAGGAGAACCTCTAACTGACTCTCTTCTTGTCCCTCTCCATTTTCTCCCCCAGGGTCACTCAGGATGTGTCAACTGTCTGGAGTGGAATGAGAAAGGAGAGTAAGTATGAGCTCCGACACCTAGGGGGTTCTGGAGAATGGTACGGGGAGGTTGGGAGAAGGGGACTTTCCTTCCTCTTTGTAGATCTAAGGAAAAGAGTGGACCCAAGAGTGGAGACTGCTGCTCTCTGCTATGTACTTAAGTTTAGTTCATCATTATCAATACACAGTTAAACAATGAATCCCAGATAGATGGAAAGTTGAATGACCTTCCAAACCCTGTTTTTTTGATAAGCTGTTGCGTTTAAGGAATGATGAGGAATTCTCAGGACAAACTAGGAGAGAATCAATCACTGTTTACAAGATAACCTTATATTCTGTGACATCTACTGTTCTTCAAGTTCTGTGCAGCCTAAGTCCTTATCAACTGGGAAACATGGGATAGAGGAGGGGGTGGGGGCAGGAACTTGAGGAGAGGTCAGAACTGTTCTTTCTCTCTGCTTACAGCTTGCTGGCCTCTGGTTCTGATGACCAGCACACGATTGTGTGGGACCCGCTGCACCATAAGAAGCTGCTTTCCATGCACACAGGACACACTGCAAATATCTTTTCTGTCAAGGTGAGCAGGATAAGCCACAAAGCAAGTGAATGGTGTGACTGGGCTGTGCACATGGTTGTGTTTGCATGTGTGTGTCCCATGTATACCCTGGGGTCACAGACATCTTTGTGATCTGAGCATCTGCTGGTGATTCCTGAAATTCCGTCTCTTTTCCATGCTCTGCTTCTTCTGTTAGAGCCAAGAGGCAAGCTCCAAATGAATTTATACTTATGTGAGTGGTGATGATGGGAGGTATGGTTCTGAGCATGAACTTCAGTAGCAGGCAGACCTGTGTTTGACTCCCTTATCTGCTCCTTGGAAGCTGTGTGAACTGGGAAAATCGCCTGACCCCTCTGGGCCTGTTTACCCATCTGTAAAAAGGAAGTAGCTAAGGAAAATCCCGCACATTAATGAATGAATGAGTAAATAAATAATTTAACTAAAAAAGGAAGTAGCAATCCACAGCGTTGATGTTACGGTTTAATGAGATGATTGATTTAAAAAGCACCTGTCACAGGTGCTTTTAGCTGTTCTACTTTTCATAGGAAATGAGTCTCTGATTGTTGGTCGAGGGGAGTTGAGCTGAGAAGAGGGAGGCAGGGGACTTAAAGGACTTCAGACCTCTGAAGACCTGTTATGTGGAAGTGACATGAAACTTGTGCCTCTCGGTCCCAAAGAACAGACCTAGGAATAGTGACTGTTAAGTTTTCAGAAGCAAATGTAGGCCTGATGAAGGAAAGAATTGTCTAATGCTTAGAGATATTTGAAAAAGGTAAAATGGGCCTTCTGAGGATCTAGTAAATGTCCTAGCACTGAGGTATTCCTCACTGGGAACTTTCATCTGCTAGGTTGAAGGCTGAAGGAAATGACCTTTAAGGACTTTCCAGCTCTGAAATTCTGTAATGGATGTATGTGAGAGTGAGGCTGTCCTTTGGAAAGCCTCACTAATCTAAGAAATATTTTCCTAATTAATATCAAGATGAATTACAAGATACCTGAAGAAGAAGATAGATTCAAGAGCTCAAAACCAACTTATTTCACTAATCAGCGCTTCTTTCCTAAGCTCTGATTCTCATCTCCTGTTCCAGGGACCAATCCTAGATGAATTTCTGTGATTTGAGAGACAGAACAATGCTGATTCACCTCTTGCATGATGAACAGAGACTGCTTTCCTCCCCTGAAAAGTGTTAGGTCCAGTTTAAATCTGTGGGGTCAGATCCGGGGAAGGGACCTAAGCTCTCAGTTTGGCATCACAGAACACAAAATGTTGAGTTCAGAGACCAGAATTGGACAATGACCTTGATATTCCCTAATAGTAAGGCCTTGGGCAAGGCACTTATATTCACAGACTCTCAGCCTCCTCTTCTGTTATAAAAAGGTACAGAAAAGGGTTCCTCTCTCTTCTGGTAATAAAATACCACGGATCTATTTATTTAACCCACGAGCTCCCCCTGGTGGCATCTATAGTGTGGAACGAGTATGGCAGTGGCCACAAGCTCTTCCCAGGGGTTCTCCTGTTTATTTCTATTGTGCGTGGGGTATATGTTGTCTCCAGCCAGGATTAAAGACTACTAGTTGTCCCTAAAAATGATCAAATTCCATCTGTTTCATCTAGCCCTTATGCTGGTGAGCTATTAGAGAAGTGCCTGTGGAAAGAGT